AACCCGTAATTTTATTGGTACCAGATCCTAAGATTATGGTGTGCACTTTAAACACTGAATTCTGGCATTGGGAAAAGGTTTGTCTTTAAAAAAGTGTTTTACTTTCAGCACAGCAAAGTAGTAAGTTTACTCTGAAGAGAACTTAGGCAAATTGTGTATGTGGACAAGAAAGCCTGGGTTAATTCCTCCTGCAAGATTACCATGGGCTGCTCGCTGTAATACATCTCTCTATTCCTGCATATAACCATCAACTCATTTATTTAGGAACCATTTTTATTCGAAGACTCATAAAATCTTAAGATATAAGAAACCTGAAGAAAGGTCTTAAGTGCTTCTTATGGAAAGGAAAATAAAAAGGTGTTTATACACCCTTGAAGCTGAGGCATTTTCTCATCTTAAAAAAAGAGCGGGGAACAAAACAGCAGCTCTGGAAACAGACTCTGTCCACCATATTTATTATCAATTTAACAGCCTTGAATGGAAACTGCAAGTGCTTTGATAAAAATCAATTGAAAAGCTGTCTGCCTCACTGTTGCTTCAATAAAGTGCCTCTGTATCTTTCACTGAAACCTTGTTTTTGTAGCCTCCTTAAAAAATACCCTGTATTAAATCACTGCACTGTGCCTCCTCCAAAAACAGACTCCAAGGAAAGTGTCCAGACCAGTACCCCTCATTCAAACTTCCCTTCACCAACAGGGACCAGGGATGTAAACCAGCATCAACACCCACACCCCCAGTTATGCAGGACACCTTAATTGCTACTATATTGTTAAAAATTCACTTTCGGGTCTCTGTGCATTTAACTCAGGTGCTAGACCTCTCTCCCTGGAGGTCTTTGGCTCCAAGTCAAGCCAACTTCAGGCTGCAGCACAAATGGCTGACTTCAGCAGCACACACAGCCCTGACCACAGCCCTTACCAAAACGGACCTCGATGCTCCCGTCCAACACGCCGTGAGGAGCCCATTTCACACATCACTGCCCCAACTCAGCCCTTTGCACCTGAGGGAGCCAGGGGTGCCAGAAGCAAGACTTAATTTGGATTCAAACAAATAAACACTCTCCTGAAGCCTTCGCAAAATCTCCAGAGTAAAAAAAAAAATACTACAAAATGTAACTGGTTTTACTGTGTCCTCATGTGTAAGCCATATGGCCTATATCAAATAAGCAGAATGAGCAAAAAAAAGTCACCAGTAGTCCACATTCTTGTAATTCAATCAGCTTTAATGTTTTCGCTAACCTACGGTAAGGGTATTTGTTCTAATAACCTTGAATAGAGTGGTGACACTTTAAAGATGGCTCCCTTGAACAAAGAAAGATAAAAACACAATTTACAGCAGGATGTTGAATCTCAAGGCAAATTCCTGCGACTGTAAATTGCAGCTTTTTCCCCAGGCCAGCCCCTCACCAGATAGCAAGCAGTCTGTCTTTGCCATTTTACTACACATCTTCCTGTACTTCTCCTCCTCACTGGTCAGGAGTATTCTTCAAAATAGTCCTCCTCTAAGGATCTAGTCTATAGCATTTACAGCATTAGCTGGAAAAAATAAACAGTTCAGTCGTACGGACTGTGCCAACACTCAAATGCCACAAAGGATCTTGTCAGCCCGGACATACTCAGCAGCCTGCGAAACCCGTGGCACCCAATTCCACCCTCTAGCCTCTTGCCAGCTTCCACAAAGACCTTCTCCAGGGCTGGTGGCATGACCACCCCTCAGCTGGCCAGAGCCACGCAGCACAAGCTGTCAGTGAAAGCTCCAGTGCCTCCCCAGGCTCCACATCCAGCACTGCTGACGGCTGCTGGATTCACCGGGCACCGAGCACGCAGCACCGGTTAAAAGTACCAGCAGCACATCAGCCTCCACACACAACCCCCGTCCAGGGATCTTCTTGAGGAGGCCTGCTAGGAAGCCCTGGCCACCAACAAAACCGACATTGTGAAGGGGTGAAGGGACCATGAAGACTTCTTGTAAGTCCTGCGGGATGCTGAAAAGCACTGTTTCCTCACAGAGCCTTTGAGAAGTAATGGATTCTGCCACATAATCCTGCATGAGATTTTTAGCTTATATGGAAAATGGTACTATTCCCTACTTACCTTCACTGCAACCTCCAGGTGAAAAGCAATATGGATTGGGCAAAATGGGCCTTAATTTCAGGAATCTCCTAGGCACGCCGCAGCAGCTGACTGCCTTCTGCAAAACAGCCCTGTCAAAAAACCACCGCCTCTGCTCGGGAGGGGACCTTGCTAGAGACATAAGGACAGTTCAGTGTCCACGGGTCAACCGAAGTACTAAAGAAAAATTAAGTCAGGTTTGTAATTAGTAGCCATGGTGGTCTTTTATACAGTTTCTGTTGTTTGACCGCTGGGAACCAAAAGGAGGCTGCCATATAAGCCCATTGCCAAAAATCAGGTAGCTTTCAGCGATGAGGAACCTGGCTGCCATTGAAACTGGCACTTTAGATGCAGGAGACTCTATCCATCTCCATTACAAATCCTCTGAGCTCATCCTAGCATTACTTTCCCACATTAAGCAAAAGAGTTAACATAAAAAGCCTGTCTAGCTTCAGACATTATCCAGATAAAGAGAAGGAGAAAAGAGAAAATCACTTGTATTACCTCTCTCAGCTCTCCCCAAACCTTTTCTGACATCTTTGTTCTTTCAGACCTGGCATTTATCTGAAGACATTGTCTAGCCCTAATTAAATCTTCACGTGAACCACTGCTACTTCCTGGCAGAGAACATGCATTCTTGGTGTGCTGATGGACCTACATAATTTTCTGCACTTCTCCCTTATGGTGAGTGTTAGGCCTTACTTGAAAACATCACAACTGTGTTCAACACAATATGTTTAAACAGAAATACAAAATTATTCAGTTTCGTTTAAAGAATGAAGAGAAACATAAGTGAAAATCATATTCCACAAGCTCATTGAAAAAAAAACTGTGGAAAAACTGGGCAAATAAATAGCACTGTCTGAGAACAAGGCATGCTTTTGTTTTACTAGGATTACTGGCAGTGATATGAGAAGCAGAAAAATTTTTATTCCAAAATAAAATCTGCAGCTATCTCTTCCCCCCGGGGATGAAAAAACATTCTTTAAGTGCAGCTGAATTTTGCATTAAGGGAAGTTGCATTATAAACCCCTCACACACACCTAACCTTATCTGATGAAAGCAGCTCCTTCAGAGCTTTGTGTTCAAAGCCTCTAAGTTGGCAGCGACTGCTCATTCAAAGAGAGCAAGGGGATGCAAGAGCTATGAAAATCTTTGCACTCCAGAGTTAGAAAGGCAGAAGGCTAGAAAAGCAAATTTTACTGCTAACACCCCCAACAATTCTTAAGTCTTAAGGGAAGCCCCTTTAAACCACTTACTGATGCTAAAAGAAACTGGTAACAAACAGACGAGAAATTATTGCCTTCCCTTAACAACGCTCATTGTAGAAGGCTTGTCCAAGCAGCAAAGCAGCCAGCTGTCCTGGCAGATGTGGTCAGATGGCCAAACACAACAAAGCAAATTCACTTTAAAATCATGTTTAATGTTCACTGTTCTCATTATTATCCTCCAACTCTCTGCACTTCTCTCCCTAAGCAGAAGAAATAAACACCCCAGATGGCTAAAGAAAAACAGCAAGCTATACATATGCTCCATATAGTCTGACAAAGCAAGAGTCCAGCCATCTTCAAAGTACAGTGCGAGACTTACCCGTTTAAGGGCCTTTTAGCTCTACAAGGGGGTGTCTCTGCACATGTGGGTGAGGCAACTACTATAAAAGAACTTCTGGATTTTGAGGCCACGACAATGTACTCTGCAAAATTTTTCCACATTAATTTCACAAGTCTTCCATCATTCCATAAATTAATGTAGAATAGCTACAGACTAGACTATACATAGCTATACATTATACTATATATAAGCCCTAAATAAGGCATTAGAATTACTGTTGCTTATGAAATAAATCAAGGAAACTATGAGCACGGCTTTACTGGAGAGGGATGCTAGTGCAAGTGCATTCAACTGAACATTGCCTTGGCCTCTGGGACCGTATGCCACGGTCCCCGCACTGCAGGAACCTGAGCCAGTCTGTTGTTCTTTCCCACCACAATGTGAGACGTCTGGTATTTCTTCAAGGCCTAAGAGAAGAAAATGGGAGGCAATGACAGCCCACCCAGCCGTAGGCAAGTTATAAAACTCTGTAGAAGTGGCCCGCAGGCTTTCTCCTGTGGCCCTGGCAACGCAGACCAAAACCACATATGCCACAGCTGAGAGTGAACACATCTGTGGGAGGGAGGGAGTAGACACAGCAACCCAGGAAGGACTTGGCTAGCCACACAGTGAAAGCATACTCAAAATAACCTGCCTAATGTCACCAAAGCATTAGCTAAACCACAATTCAAGCTCTGGGCTGAAAACAGAGCACATGCTTGTATCTCTAAACCACGTCACCCTCCCTGCATATCCACAGGTCCAGGGAGGTTTCAACATTTTGGGAAAAATGTGGCTGAACGGCAGGGCTTCTCCATAACAAGGTGCTCACATGCAGGAGAAGGAGCTGGGGGATGCAACAACTTTCCTTCATCCATCAACCATCTTGAAGTGGAGTCGCTCCTTCCTCGTGGCAAACAGTCTGCCCGAGGCTACCGCTACACCCACGGCCCTCTGCTGCCCACAGAGTCCTCCACGACCCACACTAACCCCCAGAAACCCCAATAAGGCCTACAGCACCCACCAACCCCAAAAGCCACCCACCACCTCTAGAGCCCCCGCTAGCCCCAGAGGCCC